GACCAGCTTGCTGAGAGGCTTGCTAGGCTGGAGGCCCTTCTCGCGCGCCAGAAGGAGGTTCTTGCTGCTTGCACGAAGCGCTGCCAGCGTACGGCTGGTCAGGACTGGCACGCTTGGTTGACGGATAAACTTAGTCAGGGAGCCCGCAATGCCCATTGTGCGGTTAAAGACCCCCTGTGCTGGAAGCCCACTACCACCCTCTCGCCGGAGGGTCAGGTCGTGTCTGATCCCCGACAGTTGCTTGACGCTGAGGTCAAAACGTACTCGGGCCTCTGGCAGGTCCGTGTTTCGCCCCCGAAGCTCAGGTGCAGAATCTCTGAGCCCCTTCCCCCCTGGATGTGGAGTTCTTTCGGAAGCTGGGCAGGAAGTATCCTAAGAAGAGTGCCGTGTCCTACGACGGTTTTCACTTGAGGCATTTTCAGTACCTCAGTGATGCCAGCCTGGAGGTGCCCAGCTTGATCCTCTCGCTCGCTGAGCGCTCGGGCATTCTTCCGACCCAGCTCTCGGCAGTGCTGGAGGCTTCGTTGGCCAAGGAGAAGGGGGGTTTTCGGCCGATCGGCATTTTCCCCTCGGTGTACCGCCTCTGGGGGCGGGCCCGCAGGCCCCTGGCTGAGGCCTGGGAAACGCGTTTCTCCAGAGACTACTGGGCCGCTGGACGGCACAGAGGGGCTATGGATTGTGTGTGGCGCCAAGCCTTTAGGTCGGAAGCTGGAGTCAGACGAGGTGCCTGCTCAACCACAGTTCTGTGGGACATGTATAAGTACTATGAGCTGATCGACCTCGAGGCCTTGGAACTTAGAGGTCGCAGGCATCAGTTTCCTCTGGGAGTCCTGCACATGTGTCTGGCGGCATATAAGTCGGCACGATGCATCTGCCTCTCTGGCATCATCTCTGGCCCTCTGAGGGCCACTCACGGCATTATCGCGGGCTGCAGCATGGCCACTTCCCTCATCCGTGTCCATGCCCTCGACGCCTTCGACACCGTTCCTCGTTCGCTCAGCCTGCGCCGCATCGATCGGGAGTCCTCGGAGTTTTCCTCTTTCGACGCCTACATCGATGACACTAGCATCTCGGCTATCGGTTCCAGGTCCTTCGTTAGAGCTACCATCCTGAACATGGCCTCCCTGCTGCTGGCGGGTGTCAGGCAGATGTTAGGCGGCCGTGTCGCTCTCGACAAGGTTGCCCTAGTGTGCTCTTGTGGTGCCCTGGGCCAGCAGCTGGAGGCTGATCTTGGCCCCTTCGGCGCACTGGACACCTCCGCCATCAACCTCGGCTGCGGCGGCGCGGCTGGGAAGTGTTGCAGGGCGGGCAAGGGGGGGATGAGGAAACGTCAGGAGAGGAAGATCAAGATGCAGCGCAAGGCTATTCGTTTGAAGCGGTTCCGTTCTCACTTTGGGACGAAAGCTATCAAGGTGTTCTCTGCTGGCCCGTTGCCTGGGTATATCTATGGATGTGAAGTCCAGGGCCTCGCGGACGGTGAGGTGCGCAGACTTCGGCGTGTGGCAGCCAGCTCCATCAACCCAGATGCCGCTCGCAGATCGCTGACGGTGCTGTCGCCCACTGAAGGGGGCCCTGTTTGGTACGGTTCGGTTGCGCCCGTGCTGCGCTACATCAAAGAGGTCTGGCTTCTCAGGACCAGTGCTTTTCCAGGTGCCCTGGACTGGGCTACTATTCGGGCTTCCTGGGAATGCGTTTTCCGCAGTCGTCAGCAATCTGTCACTTGGAGGAGCGTCTCGGGACCGATGAGTGCCATGTTCATGAGTCTCAGGAGGATTGGATGGGATATGAAGAACGTGGTAGTTTTCACTGATGACATGGGGCGAGAGCTCTCCTGTACGCAACTCTCGCCAGCGCTTTTCAAGGTTCTGCTGCGCCAGGCTGTGCTGCGCCAGCTCGAGAGAGCGGCCTACGGCAAGCTGGTGGACGGCGATCTCTTTTGTGGCGTTGGAGTTCCTCCGCCAGAGCCTGTCCAAGGCCTAGATGAGCCTGCTGCCGTGGAGTTGGCCCCCGATCGGAAGCCCCCCGACCTCGAAGGATCGAATCGCCTGTGCTTCGATGTCGTCACGGCTGGTCTCCGCTCGAAAAAACCCTCGGCCTGGGAAAAAAGGCTCCGTTCGTGCCCTCACCTGCAATGCCTTGTGGGCCAACTCCCGTGCACTAAGGTATGGCCACCAAGTGTGCCCTCTGTGCCCGCTGTGTCACACTAAGGTGGACTCTGTCTTTCATAGACTTTTGGGAGTGTGAAGCATGCATGGAGGAATGAAAGGAGCTGGTGGATGAGGAGGTTATCTCTTGGGCCAGGGGCGCGTGTGACCAGAACTCTGGGGACCTTGTGAACTTCTTGACGGGTGCCTTTGCGCATCCTGGCGACTATGTGCCGCAACCAGTCAGCCAGCAGGACTCGGATGCTGTCAAGATGGAGTTCTTCCAGGAAGGTTTCCAGGATTCAGGCTTGGAATTCCAAGGGCCCGAGAACATTCGCTTTGAAGGCAGTTTGTTCCTGGACGGCAGTTGTTTTCAGTCTAAGATTCGTGAATTGTCCAGAGCTGGCTGGGCTTTTGTGCTGTTGTCTGATCAGGGCCATCTCTTGGCCAGAGTGCTAGGGCCTGTCTTTTCTCACTTGCCGCAGTCCTCTCAGGCTGGTGAGTTCACGGCACTGGCTGCTGCTGGTGTCAATTTAGATGGGCCAGCGACTCTTTTCTCGGATTGTGCGTCGGTTATTTCTGTGTGTTCCAGGGCGCCTCGGGACCGCCTGGGGGGGGCATAGGGCCTACGCGGGCTCGGTCCTGGAAGCCTTCGCGGGTGCTGGCCCCCTCCTCCAGGGCCTGGTCAAAGTCGCCGCGCACAAAGCTGTAGATGAAGCAGGAATCTCTGCTCAGGATGCTTGGCGGAGGACAAGTAACTTTCATGCCGACCTCGCGGCTAAGTGGGGCGCAAGTGTCCATCCCCAAGCCGACCCTGTCGTCCTGTTTCGCGTCGAGCGTGAGATCAAGATTGCGAAGGCTGTCATCCTCTTGGCAGCCAAGCTCTTGCCGCGCTGGCCGCGGCTCGACTTATCTGGCGTTCAATTCATCAAGCCCCAGGCCCCACCAGCTCAGACGTCGAAGACGCCCCACGAGTGGTGTTGGTCTGGGGAGTTTTGGCAACGCAGCACGTGTCTGAGAGGCAAGCGAGGTCAGGCGCGCCCAGCGCCTGGCCACTGTGTAGTGCCTCCCCGCCTGTGCCCGAGCCTCCTTGAGCAGTTCAACCATCTTTGTGCGTTGTTGGACTGCACGGACGGCTCTTTCCTCTGTATCTGCCGTCGGTGCGGCTTTTACAGCACAGGCGGCCGCGTCAAGAAGCTGGGTGAACCCTGTTCTTGTAAGAAGACAGGGGCAGGACTTACTGCCTGGAACTATGTAATCCAAGGCCGACACCCACAGCATATCAAGAGGGAGAAGAACGTATAGTTTTTGCCCTCTCCCTGGACTGTGCTGTGAGGAGAGGTGGTCCCCACTCGTTGGGGGTCAAGCAGAGGTCGAGCGTTAAAAAGAATCTTCCCCTATTCCCCCTTGTCCTCAATTTGCAGGGGCTTCACAGATGGAGGGCGGACCGTTTTCAAAATGTGGCTCTCGCCTTAGCGCCGCGCGCATTCGCTTAAACAGAATTACACAAGTTTCGCGGTTGATGGCGGCTCCTTTTCAACTTGTGGCTCTCGCATTAGCGCCGAGCACATTCGTTTAATTTTAAGCAAACAATTTTCAGAGTTTCACGGATTGAGGGGGGTTCTTTTCAACCTGTGTCTCTCGCTTGAGCGCCGCGCACATACTTTGGTAATGTTTTCACGGATTCTCATGGTCAACGTACCTGAAATGGTGTGTTGGAGAGATTCAGGATTATGAGGGTGCAGCAATTACGTTGATTCGCGGTGCCGAAGTCCCAGGAATGGCTTTCTGGTGCGATTCAGGATCGTCAAGACGCAACAGTCAGGTTGATCCGTGGCGTTGGGGTCCCGAGAATAATGTCTTGGCACGCTTCAGGCTCGTCAAATGTTTGTCTTCCAACGAGGCAGTTCCCACAATCGAAATGAACCGTTGTAGGGGCCTTTGAACACGGAACTTAGAGGGAGGGTTTTCTCCAACATCGTGGATGGCTCTTGGATTTGCACTGGTCTTCCTCCTCCTCCCCCATCCTCAGGAATGGTCCGCGACGAGGCGCAGGAGGAGAACAACGAACATGATGGCGGGGCCCCTCTCCTTCTCCGATGCAGCTTTCTCGCGGCGTGGGGCCTCACGGGATGTCGACCTCCTCCTTGCGGCAAGGGTTTCATCCTGGGCCGTTTCCCCCAGTAGCGCTTCGCTAACGGTTAGTAGCGGTGCTAAACACGGACCCCAGAAGAGTCCCACAGGGGAGACGGGGAGCCCGAGGACGTTTGGTCCGTCAGCCGCTTCGCCTGAGACTTCCTCACAATTCGTGGCCCTGGGAGATGGCCCCCAGATATGGCCCTGGAGCGGGCGGCCCTGCAGGACGAGCTCGATAGCGCGCGCAAGGCTGGGTTTCCGAGGCGGGAATTGATACATGACCACAGCCTGGAGGGTCAGTTTTCGGAGCCTCGGCAGGCGGTGGATATGGACATATTCGGGCCCCCAGGGGCCGAAATATATGCATATCCACCGCCCGCTGGGGCACCAGGACGTCGGTTCCCAGGCGGTGGATATGGATACATTCCCGCCTCGCAGGGTTGCCCATCGAAGAACGAAAAAGGCACGAACACGCTCAAGGGAAGGCCCCCCTCCCTCGATGGACGGGCTTTCGAGTCGATCGGCTCGATTGCGCGAGCGATCGGGCCGACCCGCGATTCGTATGGTGACCTGTGGGAAGCCTCCCCTTGCCCCCGCACTGGCCCCGGCCAGCCTCAGCCCTCGCCCCGGTCCCAGCCCGAGTCCTAGCCCTGGCGCCCAGGCCGAGAAGCATGGGAGCCACCCGCGCACGCCGGCCGTGGCCTCGCCCTCCCCCCCGAGGCGCACGCCAGGGAGGCCGAGCAGAGGGAGCAAGACGCCGAGGAGGCCTCCGGGAACGAGTCGCGGCTGGCCGCCCAGGTGGACAGGCTGCGCTCCGAGCACACAGATGACCTGCTGCGCGTCGAGGCGAAGGATCGGGGCCTCCCCAGTGGGCTCCAAGCAGACGGGGTCGGAGGATCGCGCCGCATCGCCGATACATCGGCGATGCGGCTCGGTGTGAAGCCCAGATTTCTCAACGCCAGCGGCGCCGCCGATGCGTCGGCGATGTATCGGCGACGCGATCCTCCGACCCCATCTGCTCGGATCCCGTTTGAGCGACGCAGAGAAACGGGTTCGATTGTGCCGACATTTGCTCGTAAGCTGCCCGCGTAAGGTCGCGCGCAAGCGCCCTCGTCTCAATGTGGCGTGCCGCGCCGGCGGCCCGCGGACGCTGCCGCTTAAGGCCGCTAATTACGTCATCTCGCGTAAGACGCGTTTCTTTTCGTCGCTCATCTGGGAGACCTCCAGAGGAGCAAGCCGCCAGGGAGGAGGCGGCGACGCTGCAGGAGGAGGCCTCAAGGCGGCGGTACACGCTTCAGAGATGGCCTCGCCTTTGGCGCACCTCGCCTGTGGCGGAAGCCGGCGGGAGGCCGCTGGCAGAAGCAGGGCGGCGCGGCTCCGCTGGCGGAAGCTGGCGAAAGGCCGGCGGAACCCTTATCGGCGCTTATCGGCTCAAGCATTCATCAGCCGCCTCCTTCCGAGCTGGGTTGCAATTCCCAGCCCGACCGTGCGCATGGGCTTCCTCTGCCATCCCCATTCTGTGGCCTTCGAGGGCCACCGTTCTCGATATGAGTCGTCATATCGTGCGCCGCATGTCGGTCGATTTTTACAGCCTTTAGTCCCCTCGCGAAGCGTCCGTCCTGAAGGTGCATTGGGCGCAGTGTTGTGAGAAAAGGAAGGCCGGCGGAAGTGACAGGCGAGGCGTCGGCGTTTTTGGACCCGGGGTTTCCTGAATCGCCCAGGTGGCGCCAGGAGCACGCCTCGGAGTTCGACGGCCGGGAAGCCGATTCAGAGAGGGCCTCGCGGCAGCAGGGCGAGCTGAGGGCGGAGCTGGAGGCTCTGCGGAGCGACGTCCAGGGCGAGGCTCCCAGGGACGTGAGCACACCGGTGCCGATGCCCTTTCCTGGCTCTCGTCGGCTACACGTAAGAGTGGCCTTTCGCCAGAGTGACCTTTGGTGCGGCCACAAGGTGGTGTCCCCAGAAGGCTGAACGCGATGCGATAGCGGCGGCTGGCGCGCCCTCGGGTTTGGCCTCCCCGCGCCCCCCGACAGCCGCGCACCAAGGGCCACTCTTGCCGATCTCGCCCTCCCGGAGGAGGGCACCTCCAGTGCACCTGCACTGGCCCTGGCCATGCCCAGGAGCGGTGTGCACGCCTCCCTGGCCAAGCCAGGGGGGGCGCAGACCCTCCTGGGCCCAGGAGGGGCCTGGCCAGGCGCGGTGGACCTGTGTCGATCTCATCGCCCTGGAAGCCATTCCCTCGCTCTCGCCCTTTCGGGCCTCCCGGGGTGCCCTCGTCGCCGAGGCTGGCTCCGCCTCGGCGACCATGGTCAGAGCGAGCCCCTGGGGCGGCCCGGGGAGCAGCGGCACCAGTATCTGGCCCTCGGCTGCGCGCAAGAGTGACCTGCCGTCGGAGAGACCTCTGGTGCGCCGCTGTCGGGGGGCGCGGGGGGGGGGACAAACGCAAGCGCGCGGGGCCGCCACCGCCGCACTGCATGCAACGAATGGCCCACCGCACACCACAGGTTGCCCTTGCCCAGGGGCCGCTCCTCTCTCGTAGCCGTCTTGTGCCCCGCCCGGAGGTGGAGCGCTGGCGGTCGGAGCACGCCGGCGAGGTCGGGCGTGCCAGCGAGGCGCGCGCCGCCGCGGCCGAGGAGGCGGCACAGCTTGCGGGGGAGGCCGAGAGGTGGCAGGTGGAGCACGCCGAGGATAGCGGGGAGGAAGCGGCACAGGCACAAGCCTGTCGGAGGTCCGCACGGACCTCCGAGATCGCATCGGCGACTGCAGAGGGTGTGGTTACGCCCGGGTGTGGTTTACGAACGGCGGTGTTGGGGCTTGGGGGGCCACTTGCCCTCGCGGGGCCTCCCCGAGGCGCGGCAGAAATCTCTGTCGAGATCCTCGCCCGCCCCCCAGGGCCGCCCCCCAGGGTGCGGATTGCAAACCACACCCTTAGGAGTCGCCGATTTTATGCTGGTGCCGCTTTGTCTACTTCGAGAGGAGGCGGAGCGCCGCACGAGGGAGGCCGAGGGTGCCGCTGGCAGCCTCGCCAAGCTTGAGGCCGAGCTGGGCGAGCAGCGCAGCGTGCTGGCCAGCGAGGTCGAGCGCGGCGCCGCTGCCGCCGCCGACGCCGAGCTGCAGCTGTGCCAGCTGCGGGGGGAGGCCGCCGAGCTGCGGCAGCAGCTGGCGGACAGCTCGGCGCGCTGGGAGGGCGACAAGGCGCAGGCGTCGCAGAGCGAGGCCGCGCTGCTCGCCCAGGTGGAGCAGGCGCGCTCCGAGCTCGCGGCCGAGGCGGAGCGCCGGGAGCGCGCGGCCGACGAGGCCTCCCGGGAACACGCGGCGCTGAGCGCCGAGGTCGACCTGCGGAGGCAGGAGCACTCCGAGGAGGAGTCCCGGCGGGCCGCGGAGGCGGAGGGGTGGCGGGGGGAGCTGTCGGAGGAGCAGGCGCGGGCCGAGGCCGCGGCGGCGCGGGCCCGCGAGGAGGTCTCCGACCTGCAGGCTGAGGTGGGCGCGGCGCAGAGGGCCCACACCGCGGAGGCCGAGGGGCGCGAGGCGGACGCCGCGAGGGCCGCCGGCACGGCCTCGGAGCTCGCTGCCGAGGTGGAGCGGCTGCGCTCGGAGTGGGACGAGGAGGCCTCGCGCGCCGAGGCGGCCGCGGCGCGCGCCAGGACCGCCGCGGACGCGCTCGCGGCCGAGGCTGAGCGGTGGCAGGCGGAGCACGAGGCCGAGCGGGGGTGCCGGAGGAGGGACGCCGAGGCGGCGGCCCAGGAGGAGGGCCAGCTGGCCGCGGAGCTCCGGTGCGTGCAGGGCGAGCTGGCCGCGGAGGGCGCGGCGCGCGCCGCGGACGCGGCAAAGTGGGCGGGCGAGGCCGCGAGGCTCGGCGGTCAGGCGGACGAGTGGCAGGCGGAGCACTCGAAGGAGGTGGAGCGCGGCAAGGTTCCGAGGCGGGGACTCGTCCACATCCGCCGCTCGGGGAACCCGATCTTCCTGGACCTCGGGAGGCGGTGGATAATTAGGGAAATATTTGGGCCCGCAGAGGGCCCCAGTAGACCCATAATCGCCCGCTGCTCCCTGGGGCCCCTGCCAGTGCCCCCTGGGACGTCGGTTCCCCAGGCAGTGGATATGGACAGAAGTCTCCGCCTTTTCGAAGGTGGCAGCCGCCTCCTCCGCCAGAGAGGTGGCAGTGCTGCGGGACGAGATCGAGTCGATCCGCAGCGCGCACGACAGGGAGGCGAGGCAGCGCGAGGCGGACGCCGCCAGGGCCTCGGGCGACAACGCGCAGCTGATGGCGCGGCTGGAGCGGGTGCGGTCAGAACACACGCAGGAGGTGCTGCGCGGTGAGGCGGCGGCCGCCAGGGCGAGGGAGGAGCCAGAGGCTGACAGAACCCCGACCCTGCCAAGTCGATTCGCGAACTGCTCTGCCTCGGTTCTCGCGAGGGTGCGGCGCCCGCAGTGTTTGCGGGGCTGCGCCCGCTGGGTCCGGTTCCGGGTCGTCTTCGCGAAAGGGTGTTTTGCTAAAGGGTGAGCCTGACTCCAGCACATCCCGGAGTGCTTCATGCTTAGAGGGCGCTCCAGCCGCCCTGCGGCCTTCCCCGCCTTCCTTCTTTTCTTCTTGCTCCTGTGTGCCCAACTCGCTTCCGACGCGCCCCGCCCATAGCCGACCGCCTGCTGGATTCAGCTTGCCGCCCATCAAACAAGTGTTTTGCTGAAGGGCTTTCTTTGGTCCTGCCCCAGTTCCGCGATTCTTGGGCCTCTTCCTCCTCCTCCTCCTCCTCCTCCTCCTCCTTTCCTTTTCCTCATCAATAATTCTTCCCTGTCGCACCCCGAGGCCGGTCGACAGGGCGGGCCGGGCGTTTCGCCTGAGACTTCCTCGCCACCAATGACCCTGAAGCTTCGGAGTTGGCAGCAGCTTCACAGATGGAGGGCGGGGGGGTTTCAAAATGTGGCTCTCGCTTTCGCGCCGCGCGCATCCGTATTAAAGCATTGCAGGAGTTATGCGGATTGAGGGCGGGTCGTTCTAAACATGTGGCTTTCGCCTTAGCGCCTCGCATATTCATTTTGAACATCTGCAACAATTCTGTGGACGGATGGTTTTCAAAATGTGGCTCTCGCCTTAGCGCTGCGCGCACTCGTTTTAAACAGTTGCAAGTATTTCATGGATTGAGGGTGGTTCCCTTTCAAAATGTGTCTCTCCTCTCGCACATTCGTTTTGAAACATTACAAGAGTTCTGCGGATTGAGGACGGGTCGCTTTCAAATTGTGGCTCTCGCTTAAGCGCCGCGCACATTCATTTGAAACGCTTGCAACATTTCCGCGAATTGAGGGCGGGTGGTTTTCAAAATGTGGCTCTCGCCTTAGCGCTGCGCGCACTCGTCTTGAACATTTGCAATCATTTCATGGATTGACGGCGGGTCGTTTCCAAAATGTGGCTCTCGCCTTCGCGCCGCGCACATTCGTGCAACAGTTTTGCGGGTTGAAGGCGGGTGGTTTTCAAAATGCGGTTCTCGCTTTAGTGCCGCGCACCTTCGTTCTCAACATTTGAAGAAGTGTCACGGGTTCCCATGGTCAGCGTACCAGGGATTGCGTTCTGGAAGGATTCAGGACTGTCAGGGCGCAACAGTTACATTGGCTCGCAGTGTTGAAGTCCCAGGAATGGTGTCTTGGCACAACCCAGGACCGCCAAGACGCAGCAGTCAGATTGATTCGTGGCGTTGGAGTCCCGAACATGGTGCGTGTGTGTATGTGTGTGTGTGTGTGTGTGTGTGTTGGTTTTTGGGTCTCGTACGCTGTGCCTTCGACGATGCTCGATCGCAATTCGCACTTTCACCTGCTGCCCGCGCTTGGGGACCCTCTGCCCCGCTGGCTTAAATAAAGTTGTTTGTTTTGGTACGCTTCTGGTTCTTTAGAAGGCTGCCTCTCATCGAGGCAGTTCCCTCAGTGGAAATGAACCTTTGTAGGGGCCTTTGAAGAGGGAACTTGGAAGGTGGATTTATTCCAACATCGTTGATGAGTCTTGGGCTTACACTGGTCGTCCTCCTCGTCCTCCACGACCGCTCGCCCGGGCAACAAATGTGACAAATATTCCAGATTTCATAACGAAGTGTGTGTGTGTGTGTGTCACATGTGGGGTGGTCTGGTTCGAGCTGTCTTGGCGCGAGAGAGGCGGGTGTGATTTTGATGTCCGAGGGTGTCTTGTCCAGGCGACACTTGACAATCGAGCATCGCTTCGTCTGGGCGAGGCCAGGGGGCGGCTGTCTTTTGATGCAGGTGGTCCCGCGCGGGGGGGTCTGAAATGGCTCGTCTGGGAGTTTGTGACCCCCCCACTATATCTCGATCTCAACCCTTCGTTCCAGGAGTGTGGAAGAAAAAATATATGAAATGGGGAGTATCTTCTTTTGTTAGCGTCTGTTGTTCTAGAGGGGGCAGGATCTGTCCGCCCAGGCTGGCGACCACGGCAAGGAACAACAGACTCGTGGCAGCACCGTTGAAGCCTCGCGGTTGTCTCGCCCCCCCTTCCCCGAACCGGAACTGTTTTGCGACAGGGGGCGCGGTTCCGTGGGTGGCTGCGAACTGCGCAAGTGTCGCCATTTTCGTGGACTCCCGGGAGACACGGCGGAATAGGGGAGCACGCGACGCGCAACAACCGAGACCTCGCGGCTCGCTGGGTGGCCGCGAACTGCGCAACTGTCGTCACTTTAGTTTGGCGTCGCCCCAACATGCTAGTGATATGTGTGCGTCGCCCCACCAGACGCGGCGCGCGCGCTGAGGAATCTTTTTGTACATGTATCCTGGCGGGTGCTTTCTGGTCCCACCGCGGGAAACGATGTACTACCTGATGGTTGTACTACAAGTTCGGGTCGGACGCGCGCCTCCGAGGAGGACGCATCGTACTAGTATATCCTTGCGCGCCTCATTTGTGGGCTCCAGGGAGGCCTCCAGAATGAAAGTGCTTTGCCTGGAGCGACGACCACGAGTGCGGCGGCGACGACGACCACGGCGCGGTGGCGGCGGCGGTGATCACGGCTGCGGCGGTGACGACCACGACGCCTCGCCGGCGGCGCGGTCCTTGGCGGTCCTTTTGGGAGGCCTCCAGGGCCTCTGGAAGCCCTCCAGAACGCGACGCGCATCTGGCCCACAATGAGGGCTCGTACAGATTTTAAACAGAAAGCTGTGTATACGCAATGCTTTTTTGCTCAGTGCAATCTGCTAGGCCTTGGGATCCTAGACTGGCATTTGGCACCCCTCTTGATTCATTTTGCTACGGAAAGCGACGGATAATCATCACAACTGCACTGAATTTGAGTAGAGCTTTGTGGTCATCACTTCTCCTCTCCTCTCCTCTCCTCCCCTTCCTCCTCCCTCCTGCCTCCTGCCTCCTGCTTGATTCGTTCCCATCCCTCCCGCGTTGGCTTCTCGTTCTGAGCAGCGCACTTTGGTCGCCAAGTCCCTCCCTCCTCCTCCTCCTCCTCCTCCTCGCGGCTCCTCCTGGGTGGCTGCGAACTGCGCAACCGTCGCCTTCCTCGTGGCCTCCCTGGGAGGCCCGCCCACCCCCGAAGGAGGCCGAGGGCCTGGAGGGTGGGCTCGCCCGGTGGCGGGCGGAGTGCGCGGCCGAGCGCGAGCAGAGGGCCGCCGACGCCGAGCGGGCCTGCGGGGAGCGGGCGGGCCTGGCCGCCAGCCTCGGGAGCGCCGAGGATCGGCGGCGAGCGAGGGGGGGAGGCGAGGCGGAGGAGGCCCGCCGAGGGGGCGGTGGGGCTTCTCGGAGGCCCTCGCGCCCGCTGAGCAGCTCTCCGTGCCTTCGGGGAAGGCTCAGGTCAGGGCACTGCTCAGAAGGCCTGGGAGCTTCCGAGCCTTCTGAAAAGGCCTTCTCCTTCTCACTTCCCCCCCGTGCTCGCCGCCAAGAGGAGGCCCTGGAGAGGGAGGCGGACGCGCAGAAGGCCTTGGGGGGATCACGAGTTGGAGCCGTCTGGGGGTCCGAGGTGCGTGTCGCTGGGGCCGCCGCCCTGACACGCTAAGCAAAAAGTTCCTGACCGTGGCACCCCGCAGTTGCGGCCAAGAGTGAGGGGGCGGGCGCGGGGTGCATCGCAGGTGGGTCGCGATTGGGTCGCGGGTTGGTCGCGGGGGGGGGGGGGACGACAACAGCAACAGCAGCAACAGCAACAATGACAGCAACAACAAGCAACAACAACACACAACAATCGTAATCTGGACCACCGAATTCCACTTCACCCACGCACACATGGATGGTGTAAGACCGTTCGGCCCTCCCACGCGGACTATCAATAACACGCGCGTCGTCTTTGAGGCAGTGCGTTTTTACGCTTCCGCTTTTGGCAAAACCGCCTGGTGCTTCTTCCGGAGCAGCACGCTGATGGTGTCGTCTGGCCAGCGTGTCACTGATAATGTTATTGCTCTCTGGAGGTCGCAGCCGCCAGGGCCGCCGAGGTGGCGGCGGGCCTGAGGGCGGAGGTCGAGGATTGGCAGGGCAGGCACGCGAGGGAGCTGGAGCGCGGCGACGGAGGCAGGAGAAAGCACCCCGACACCACTTGGCTGGCGCTTGAATGCTCAGGGAACAAACAATGACGGAAACATAACAACTCGAAGGTCCGCGCGGATCTCTTGGATCGGCGCTGGACCCCCCTCCCTGGCGCGCGGAGCGCGCCAGGAGCGGTTCCGGAGGTGTCGTCATGTGGCCCCAGCGCCGATCCGAGGAATCCGCGCTGACCTCAGTTTTTTTTTGTTCATGTCTTTGTTTGTTTCACTATACAAGCGGTCATGCCCTGCTCGTTTCTATCCTTTTAAGTCCGTGTCCTCGAGAGAGGGGCTTAGCTCGCAGGGGTGCTCATTGTACCACGAGGGTGGTCCCTCTGCCCTCTATCAGAGCAGCAATAAGTCCTGCCCGTCCTGATTCCATCCTTTTCGGTGCGTTTGCTATAGGAAAGTGCTTCGCTCGTAGGGGCGCCTATTGTACTACCAGGGTGTCCTTCTGCCCTCTATCGATATCAGAGCAGCAAGAAGACCCGATAATGCTATGTTCCAAGATGTCCAAGATCTCCGCTATTTCCGAGATTTCCCACTGCCCCGCACGGGTTCCGGAATCGAGAACCGCTGGATACTCCAGCATCCCTGGGACGTCCCCTGAGCCAAGTGGTAGTCGTCGTCGCTTTGCACGGTTCTGCAGTTTTCCGCCACATTTGTTTCACGTTGACCGCACCATGTGGTGTGTTCGTCGTCAGGGGCCCAGCCCACAGAGGGCGGCAAGCATGTCGCGCCGTCTCGTTTCTGCTCGCGCCTGCCTGTTTCACATGTGGACTTCAGCGGCGCGGTTCACGCCCGCGCTGCATCTTCCACCATCATCGTCATCACCATCATCATCATCACCATCATCATCATCATCATCATCATCATCATCATCATCATCATCATCATCATTATCATCATCATCCCCATCATCATCATCATCATCATCATCACAATCACCACCATCATCACCATGAGCATCATCATCATCATCATCATCACCATCGTCATCACCTCATCATTACCATAATCATCATCATTGTCATCATCATCACCACCATAGTCAGCGTCACCAACATCATCACCACCACCACCATCGTCATCATCATCATCATCATCACACTCGCCACCATCATCACCATCAACATCATTATTATCATCATCATCACCATCATCATCACCACCACCATCACCATCATCATCATCGTCATCATCACCGTCATAAGCGTCACCAACATCATCACCCTCACCATCAGCAGCGTCATCATCATCAGCATAATCATCACCGTCATCATCATCATCGCATCATCATCAAAATCATCATCATCATCAGCATCAGCATCATCATCATCACTATCACCATCATCACCACCATCATCATCATCATCACCATCACCATCATTCTCGCCACCATCATCATCGTCATCATCACCACCATCATCATCATCACCACCATCATCATCACCAGCATTGTCACCACCATCATCATCATCACCATGACCATCACCATCATCATCATCATCATCATCATCATCATCATCATCATCATCATCGTAATCATCATGACCATCTTCATAATCATCATCGTCATCATCATCACCATCATCCTCCTCCTCCTCAGCATCGTCATTGCCATCATCATCACCATCATCATCACCACCATCATCATCATCATCATCGTAATCATCATGACCATCTTCATAATCATCATCGTCATCATCATCACCATCATCCTCCTCCTCCTCAGCATCGTCATTGCCATCATCATCACCATCATCATCACCACCATCATCATCAGCAGCATCATCATCAACATCATCATCATCATCACCATTATCATCAGCAGCAGCATCACCATTATCACCAGCACCATCACCATCACCACCATCGTCACCGCCATCATCATCATCATCATCACCATCTTCACCACCATCATCATCATCATCATCATCATCACCATTGTCATCATTATCACCACCATCACCATCATTATCATCATCAGCGTCAACACCGGCATCGGCATCAGCATCAGCACCAGCATCAGCTACAGCATCAGCATCGTCAGCAGCAGCATCAGCATCAGCGTCAGCATCCGCATAATCATCACCACCACCACCTTCATAATCATCATCATCATCATCATCATCATCATCATCAGCATCAGCATCATCATCATCACTATCATCATCATCATCATCATCATCAGCATCAGCATCAGCATCAGCATCATCATCATCACTATCATCATCATCATCATCATCATCAGCATCACCATCACCATCACCATCATCATCATCATCATCATCATCATCATCATCATCATCATCATCATCATCATCATCATCATCATCAGCATCAGCATCAGCATCAGCATCAGCATCAGCATCAGCATCAGCCTCATCATCATCGTCATCACCTCACAAAGAAGAGCTGACCAGCAAGTCAAAAACTACTCTCTGGTTCAGCGACTCTGGCTTTTCAACAGCACTGCAACACCGACAGTGCCCGCATCCGTGGCCTGAGCCAATCGCACCCCGACGTCCTCCTCGCCCCATGCCGCAGGCGAGGCCGCTGAGGGCGCCGCCCGGAGGGAGGAAGACGCCCTGCGCCAGGAGGTCGGGCGCCTGGCGAGGGCCCGCGCCGAGGAGGCCGAGCGGGCGGAGGCGGACGCCGCGCGCGCGGAGGGCGGCGCCGCGGAGCTGGCCGCGCAGGTCGCGGGCCTGCGCGCGGAGCTCGACGAGGAGGTCCCGAGGAAAAGCCGAAGCTCGGAGGCCTGGAGGTTCACACCAGCACCAGTTCACGGCGGTGTCTCCCTCCACCGAGGGAAGATGATCCCGATCCCGTTGATGGTGGTAAGATTCGGGCCTCCTCGGTGACCGAAGTGTATTGCCACCAACACCAAAAGCTAGGATAATCTTCTCTCGGTGGAGGCAACCCCCTGTGTTGGTGTTGGTGCCTATTTCCAAGCCTCCAGGGACCGGGATCAGGAAGGAAACGTCGATTCCCAGTAAAACGTGGGAAACTATTGGAGATATGAGGGAATACGAAAATCCACAAAATATGGAAGCAGATTGGGAATCTTTGAATTCGTGTATATACTCACTTATATGTCCCTGGGCCCCTTCAAAGAAGCGTTATGCAGCAGGTTCGTGTCAAGCCGCCGCAGCGGCGTCCCCGCCGCGGGCGTTCAGAGGCTGAGCTCCGCCAGCGGCCCAGGAGCAGCCAGCATGGAGCGGTCTGGTGATCGATATGCCGACGATCGTTCAAGGTTGAACGATTTGCGCGGAGTCAGAAACCGGCGCCGTGGTCGTCACGGCGAAGAGGTCCCGAGGAGGGAGAATCAAGGCCAGGAAAATCACCCGGGCCCCCCAAACTGGCATCTGCTGAGCAGCCCTGCCCTGTCCGATCACTTCCTTGGGTGCGTTTGCGAGAAATTGAAAGGGCTTCGCTTGTCGGGAAGCTTGTTAATGTTGGGTGGTTCTTCTGCCCTTCTTAGAGAAGCGTCATGATGATACGCCGTCGGAGGTCCGCGCGGGGAGGGGGGGCGGCGCCAGTCCAAGGAGTCCGTGTGGGCATCTGGAAGCTTAAGTGCTTGCGTGAGGTCATGGCGCTGGAATGGGGTCCAGTTCGGGTTCATGAGGGGCTCCGGTTTCGGGGCCGTTCCTCAGATCTGGGTCGGGGAGCTTGCACTAGTGGTTGAGGCTCGCCGTGGCCAGATGCGCCTCTTCGCTCCTTGCTGAGCACTCTTCGTGGCCACGCGTCGGCTGCAGCTTTTCTCATCCTCTGAGAGGTGCTCCGCGGGGAGTCGGCGGCCTCGAGGGCCGCGGGCGTGGTGGAGGGGCTGGAGGCGGCGGCGGGCCGCTGGCAGAGGGAGCACGCGGCGGAGCGCGAGAGGGGTGAGGCGGAGGCGAGGCTGGCGGGCGAGGAGCGGGGCGAGCTCCAGGGGCGGCTGCTGCAGGCGCAGGGCGAGTGCGAGCAGGAGCCGAAGAAGAGAAAGCCTCGTGCGACAAGCGACGGCAGGCGACGAAGAGAGGGTCTGGGCGGCGGCGGCGGCGGCGGCGGCGGCAGGCGAAGGCGACTACGGACGAGCAGGAGCAGGTCCGCGCGGATTTCCTGGGTCGTCACTAGGCCCCGCTCCTCGGCGTGCTCCGCGCGCCAGGGGCGGCGGCGGAGGCGCCGCTAGGGGATTGGTGTCCAGCGCCGATTCGAGGCACCCGAGCGGGCCTCCTGACGTTCGTGCTTGTGCCGCTTCTTCCTCCGAGGAGGTCAGGGCCAGGGACGCGGCGGCGGCCCTGGCCGCCGACGAGGAGGCCAGGCTCCGCGGCGAGGCCGTCGAGTGGCGCGAGAGGCACGCCGAAGAGGCGCGGTGCGCTGCGGAGGCGGCCGACGAGGCCTCCCGGGAGCGCGCGCGCCTGGCCGACGAGGCGGGCCGCTGGCGGGAGGAGCACGCCGCGGAGGCAGAGCGGCTCGGAGCCGCGGTGGTGGACTGGGAGCGCCAGCGCGGGCTGCTGCGGGAGGACGCCGAGAGGCGCGGGCTCGCCTCCTCCGGCGCGCCCTCCGCGCCCCCGCGCGGGAAGCTGGCGGGGGCCAGCGGAAGCAGAACGGCTCGGGCTTGAGGGGCTCAGGCTCGGGCCCTGGGGCTGGGGCCAGGAGCAGGCTCGGGCGGAGGGCGGAGGGCTCGGGCTCTGGCTCGGGCGGAGGGCTGGAGCTGGGGCTCGGGCTCGCGGGCTCGGGCCTGGGCCGGGGCTCGCGCCCCGGGGGTGGGGCCGGGACCTGGCTCGGGCGGGGGGCGGAGGGCCCGGGCTGAGGCTCGGGCTTGGCGCCTGCGGGAGCAGAACGTCCGGGCCTCACGTGTGGGCTCGGAGCAGCTGGGGTCGGAGGAGCGCGCGCCATCGCCGATGCATCGGCGATGCAGCTCGACGTGGAGCCATATTTTTTCCACCCCGACGCCGCCGATACATCGGCGACGTCGCCGATCGTCGCTGGCGCATCGCCGATGCATTGGCGATGTCTCGGCGATGCATCGGCAATGCGGCGCGGTTTTCCGACCTCATCTACTCCGGCCCCATCTGGGAGGCCTCTACAGCCTCGGACAGGTTTTCCCCTAACGCCGCCACGCACGCCCACGCCCATGCACAGCGTGTTGGTTGGGGATGTCCACTTCCATGCCGCCCGCCTTTCTGTAGCGCAGTCGGTTTTCATGTGGACCACCATGGGTATTCATGACACCGTGCCATTTCTTCGGTATGTACTCACCCACCACGATGTCTGTTAATGACCCGTTCGGTGTCGAAGAAAACGTGAGACATCCCACTGTGTGTTGAGACCGCATGGCGCCCATAACGGATGTTATTCAACCGTGCGTACTTTCGCGGATTTTTCGCTTCGCCCAGGCCAAGCCAGGCTAGTTGTGAGGTCGTCACAGGCGAAATTGGACCCACACCAGGCTAAGCTAAGCACATGTTGAGGACGGCTCAGGCGAAACCGGACCCCCAAACCAGGGCCAAACCAGGCAAATGTTGAGGATGCCTTAGGCGGGGCGCGCGGCCAAACCAGAGGGACCAAGCCAGACAGATTTTGAGGACGCCCCAAGCAGAATCGCCCAAACCAGGCTCCACCCAATCTCCTCAATCACATCCCAATTAAAGAAGTGGATCACCCCAGGGTCCCCCCCCGCAGGTGGAAGCCCGTTCAGAATTTTAAAAGGGGCGGGCGTTTGGACCGCGTGCCCGCTGATGCGGCCAGGGTTGGGAGCGGAAGTCTTCATTTGCCTTTCGGGTGTTGTTGGGGCTTCGGTGTGGCGTTCAGAGAAAGATTTCCGAGCTTGTAGAAAGGGCCTGCCAGCGGAAGGCCGGCGGGAGTAGCAGCGAGCCGTCCATATTTTTGGGTTCAGGGTTCCCCGAGATCCGATGTTGCAGAAATTTGCAACATCTCGTGGGCGAAACAAACATATCCGTATCCGCGGCCTCGCGGGCGTGGCCACTGGGCCTCGACACCGCGGATATGGCCCGTTTTTTCGCGGACACCCCGCGCGGCATGTCACCATGCGACCGTGTCCCCGGGATCGTGCCCTGGAATCCAGACCGCGATGGCGCGGATACGGATATGTTCGCCGCTCGTGGACATCGTCAGGAGTCGCGGCCAGAGCCCTAGACCCCATGACTCTGCGGCATTCCTTTAGCCAGCTCGATGCGTGAGGGCCCCAGGGCCCACCAATGGGCGAAGACGTTGGGTCTTCGGGGCTTCGGCGGAGCGGGGCAGGTGGCAGGAGTCGCACGCGGAGGCGTCGGCCCAGGCGCTGGCGGCACAGGATTGGCATCGCCCAAGCTCTACGTAGGCCCCCCAAATGGGGTCCGAGTAGATGAGTTCGGAGGATCGCGACGCATCGCCGACGCATCGCCGATGCATCGCCGATGCGGCTCGATGAGGAGCCTTATTTTCGTCGCGCCGGCGTTGCCGATTCACCGCCGACGTCGCTGGGGCGCGATTCTCCGGCCCCATCCACTCGCACCCTGTCGAGGAGGCCTCTGCGAACACATTCCTACTGTGTGTGCGTCGGCTCCGCGGGGGCGACCCGCGCTCTCAGAGAACTCTTCCAGTAAAGGTTCGGTGGCGGGCGCTTGTTGGCCACGACGCCTGGGCGTCGGCATGCTGCAGCATGCCTGTGCCGTACGAGTCGGTTCGGACGTGTGCCTCCGAGAAGGGCGCAAAGTACCAGTATGTCCTCCTGCCTCCCACATGCGGGGTCCATTTCGGTCCGATCGATCCGATTCGAGATCGGTTCTGGCCAGCCCGATTCGATTCGATCCTGGCGCGGCCGATCCGGTTCGGATCTGACTCCGTGCCGATGCGGCCCGAGTCGATCCACATTCCGATCCGATCCGATGTTCCGATTTGATGCTGACTGTTCTTGGCAAGGCGCCTTCTCAGAAGGCTCGGAAGGCCTCTCTCTAAACCGTCTCCGAAGACGTACGGCTTCTTAGAAGGCTGGATGGCTTCTGAGAAGCCCCGCCGCCTTCTGAGAAGGCCTGCCCCCTCTGACTCCGCCCTTGACTTCGCCGCCACTAGCGCCCCGCATCGGCCAATGGCGCCGATGCATCGCCGACGTCGCCGGTGCATCGACGATGCGGCGCGATCCTCCGACCCCATCTACTTGGACCCCATCTGGGAGGCCTGGACCTCGAGGCGTACACCGTTCCTGGTCAGGTCGGTCCTGGGCCCGGGATCGGTGCATATGCCTGCGTGCCCAAGCCAGGAGGGCGTATACACCGATCCTGGGTCCAGGGTGGGCCTAGCCAGGATCGCTGTAGGCGTACAGTTGGTGCCCTCCTAAAGTATGCATCGGCGCCGCCATCTGGCGGCGATGCATCGGCGATGCATTGCCGCCGTCGGCGTGGAGAAAATCGGGCTCCGCATCGAGGCGCATCGGCGATGCATCGGCGATGCGGCGCGATCCTCCAACCCCATCTACTCGGACCCTGGACCTGGTCCCAATCGGCTTAATCCTGCGAGATCTAGTTCAATCCTGCTTTATCCAGCTGTGTCCGGTCTCATCCCGCTCAGTCTTGCCTGATCCCCGGCCTCTTCGGCCTGATCTGGCCCAGTGCCCAGTGGCCCCTCAATCGGGCTCAGTCGCCTCTCATCCCTCTGACGAGGACCTCCTAGGAGGTGCCTCCTAACAGTGTGACCTCCTGCCTCCCACAGGAGCTACCCATGTGCAGAGGGGGGTCGGGGGAGGGGGGAATGCTGCTCAGAGGCACCGTGCTTCTTTCAGAAGGCGCGGGCCTCGTCTACAGATGCACGGCCTGCGCCTTCTGAGAAGCAGCCTCCTTCCAAGAATCCTCCCCCCCCCCCTCCTGGCCCCCTGGTGCGCGCGGCCCGAGGAGGCCCTGGACCTGGCGAGGCGCGAGGCCGCCGCCCTCTCCGCGAACGTGGAGGCCCGGCAGGCCGAGCTCGGCAGCGCCGCCGCGGGCGCGGCCGAGCGGGAGGCGGCCCTGCGGGCTGGCGCCGAGCGGGCCGAGGCCGAGCTCGGGAGCCTGCTGGCCTCGGCCGAGGTCGGGGGGGCGCCGGCCACTGCACGCCCACGACTGGTGACGGCCCATGTCGGCCGCTCGTCCTTCCTCCTCCCCTTCCTCCTCCCTCCTCCACCTCGTCCTCCTCCCCCTTCTTCTCCTCCTCCTCCTCCTCCTCCTCCTCCTCCTCTCCTCCTCCTCCTCCTCCCCTCCTCCTCCCCTCCTCCCTCTCCTCCACCTCCTCCTCCTCCCTCTCCCCCTCCTCCTCCTCTTCCTCCTCCTCCTCCTCCACCTCCTCCTCCTCCTCCTCCTCCTCCTCCTCCTCCTCCTCCTCCTCCTCTTTCTCAAACCTTCCGTGGGGGAGGAGGCCGTCAGAGGGCGGCCCCTGCTGGCCGTGCCGGCGCTCTTGGCGTGCACGCTTGCGGCGGCCTGGGGACCTTCCTGGGGCCCACCTAACGGATCAGCTTGACTCTGGTTGGACCCCAGGTCGACCCTAGTTGGACTCAAGCTCGACTCAAGTTCGACTCAAGTTGGACTCAAGGACGACTCAAGTCGGCGGACGTTCGACGCAGCATCGTCGCGTGAGTGGAGCGAGTGGCTCCAGCAAGGCCCCCGGAAGCAGTATCTGAACGTAAGAGTGGCCCTTCGCCGAAGCTACCTTTGGAGCGCGGCTTTCGGGGGGCGCTGCGGGGCCAAGCCCAAGCATGCAGGCCGCCACTGTCGCACTGCGTGCAACGGCCAGCAAGCTGCTCACCGAAGGTGATTCTTGGCTAGTATCTTAGGCATGTGTTCGTTAAACCTGTTCACCTGTGTTGGTTCCGTTTGTGCGGAACTTGCGCTCTGCTGTCAGTTGCTTATGGCTTCATTTGCCGTGAACCCCCCCTCCCCCCCCGAAAAAGGAGACTCTTGGCTAGGGTCACTCTTGCGTGTAGCCGACCATCCCTGAGCCCAGGAGCTGGTGTGCACCCATGACCATCAGACACCCTTTGCATCGTGAAGAAAGTCAGGGCGGGCGGGCGATCTGGTGGGCTTTTTGAACAGTCCTCGGCATCCGGGGGCCCTCGCGGCGCCCCAGGGCTGTCAAAAAGAAACGGCCCATGGTGCGGAGCCGGTCCCCGGGAGGGGGTCCAGACCTCTTGGGGCCCACGTCGTGAAACAGTCATGGCGTCGGGGGTCTGTGCATGCGCCCTCCTGGCCAGGCCAGGAGGCATCTCCGGGGGACCTTGTCTGTCCAAGAAGCTCCTGTCTTCTCTTGCATCCGGCGTGGGCTCGACGTGGATTCGACGCGAACGGCGACGCGATGGGACTGGCAGAGCCCCCGGAGATGCCACAGAAAAGAGGGCGTATATGCCTGTGTACACCGATCCCTGGCCCACCTCGAAGAACAAACAACGGCCAAAGCATCATTTCTCGGGCGGAGTTCTTGGGCCAGCGTCTCTGGCGCGCTCCGCGCGCCAGGGAGAGGGATCCTGCGCGCGGACCTCTGAGAAATAACGGTGGGGGCGCTCGTAAGGGAATGTGCGCAGGAAGCGCCAGACCTTGGAGGATTCCTTTTGTGTTGAGGGCGGCGGAGAAATCCATGGCCTCTGCACAGTTGAGTTCCACCGGCTTCCAGACCCTGGACTCCTTGCCCGATGGCTCCTCAACCGATGCCCTCGCCGTATGCTCATGCTGCCCTCTTGTTCCCCTGCCACCAGAGGGCCATTGGGAGCCACGGCCTCGGCGGCAGACTCTGTGTATGTCCAGCGCTGCCTGCGGCCGCCCACGCTCCCCCACCCCGCCGCCTCTCCACAGCACCGCCTCCCTTCTCCTCCCGCCTCCGCGGCCGCCCGCTGCTTCTCCACTCGCGTGCAGCGCCCCGCGCCCACTGCGCTCCACTGGAACCGACTCTCGCGCCTGCGGCCGCCGGCGCTGCCGAGCAGCAGTTTCACGTGGCCGGCGCCCTCCCCGCGAGGGCGCGGCCGCCGAGGCGCGGGGCGAGGCCGAGGGCCTCCAGGCGCAGCTGCGGAGCCTGGAGAGCGACCTCGCCGAGGAGCTGCGCGGGCGCGGTGCCGACGCGGCGGCGGCCGAGGGGCGGGAGCAGACGCTGCGCGCCGAGGCTCGGCATCGTCGGACCGCTGCCTGTCTCGGGTGCCAGCTATACGGTAGGTTCGCGTCGTGTCGACCGGCGCTGACCCCGCCGCCGGCGTTCAACGTGGAACGCCAGCGGCGGCCCAGAATCGGTCGATATTGAACGAACTGTCGTGATGGGCCGAATTTCCACCACCACTACCATAGGTAGGAGAGGGAGAAGGAGAAGGAGGAGGAGGAGGAGGAGGAGGAGGAGGAGGAGGAGGAGGACGGCGCCCAGGTTTTTGCGCCGTGTGATTCCCCTCCACCCGCGTCCTCCCAGCAGAGATTTACGTGAGCCTTGAGCTGGGATTTGCAAGACGGTCAATGTACCACTGGAATTCCTAAGTTATGCTCGCTGTATATTCCCAAGGCTGTTCTTCGCTCTCCCGCTCCATTGTCCTTCCCTTTCTCTCCCCCCTTTCCGCTCCTCGCGGGAGGGTGGGCCAGGGCCCCGGGGGGTGGAAGATTGGACCTAATTTGGTGATGCCACGCCTGCCTGCAGGAGGGCGCCATTGAATGCACGTGTTCTCTGGGTATAGCTGCGCGCGTATGTACATTCATTAAATTCGTCTTCAGTTCTCTTGTCTGCTGCTGCCGTCTTGTACTCGAAGCTTCTCTGGGCAGGCTCGTGCCCGTCGTGCTGTTGTGACTCACGGATCCATGGGCATGCCACGCTCAGTTGTGGACCAGATGGTGGCCGCTCGTTGGCCCGAGATGCTATGATAAATAGGTCCTCTGGATACTTTTGGTGAGACTACTTCCCAGCAGCCTTTGGATGAGTCTTCTCAGGCACATTTTGATTCTGATCCGTCAGGTGATGCCAGCGGTATGCGGACGACTTTCTCGGAACGAACCTCGACCGTTCGTGCCCCGCCGACGTCGCCTGTCCATATCATCCTCCTTTTCTTTTTCTTCTTCGTCTTCTTCTTATTTTTCTTCTTTCTCCTCCTCATCCTCCTCATCGTCTGCATGCTCATATTTGTTCATGACTTTCATCTTCAAAGAAACATGCGAGCACTGGGCAAACACGTGCGTTGGTTTCACAAATGGTTCGGGGTCTGGTCAGGGAGCTTTTCTGGAACTTTGTTGGAGGTGCTTCAGAGCAGTTGCGGGGTGCTTTTTGCTGCACTGGCGGATTTGTCACATTTTCAAGTGGGTGGCGCAAAAAGCTTTGATAGAGCAGTCGAACCGTGTTTTTCTCTACTAATGTCCCTCCTCTTCCCACCACGTCCTGTTCTTCTTCCTCCTGTTCCATCTGGTCCACCCTGGCGGGGCTATGACGCGATTGCACCGGCGACGTGGTGGCAGTTGTGCTCCCAGACGGTGGACAAAAATGTGTTCGAGGCAATGTCTGCCACGCACGGTGCTCTCTTTCATCGGCTCTGTGGCCATAATTTCTTGCTCCCAGTATTCACGGAAACACCTCTTCTCGTAACAGTGCTTGCCGCTGTTGCGGTTGAGAGTGGATTGGTTCGGCGGCCATCGCAGATTCCGTCGCGCCCGTGTGTTCTCCAAATGCTTCCCCACTCACATCGCCCAGGGCTTAAGCAGGCTTGGGGTCGCCAGCGAAAGCCACGCGTCCGCTCAGTTCGACCTGGTCCGCGTGCAGTGCGAGTGACTTTTCGGCATATCCTTTCCAGGCGTGAGTGAAGACCGGTTCCTGTGCCAATCAGGATATTCGGGTAGATGTGTCGGGCGAGGGCATCTGAAACGGAAAACAGGGAGTGTATCAGGGGCTCGTGGAAGGTTTCGTGAACGCAGCACACAGTTGCGCAACCTAACTGCTGGAAGAGGGTGCAGGAGGAATTGCGGTATCGGTGTAGTCTCAACCGTGATCGTATCGGGGAGCTCTCGTTCATCATCTTCAACATCGTTCTTGGGATCCCAGGCCCCATGTATGGAATCTGTCATCGTTGCTTTATGCAATCCGCCTGCAAACTTTGTGAAACCGAACGTGCAATTTCCTTCCAAGTGGTGTCGGCCACGAGTTGCCGCACGTTCGTGGCTCGCCTCTCGGTTTCGAAGGCTGCCAGCACATTTTCGACGTCGTGTGTCCGAACGGGACAAGAATCATCAAGAACAGCTGGAAGAAATCGAGATTCGTCGGCATATTGCTGCTTTGCTTCGGGCACATCGTGAGCGTAGTCTAGAGGATCTTCTCTTGCTTCGTTTTGCCAGGCATTGCGATCGTTACCCTTCACTGCTTGTGGGGGGTACGGGAATGTACGGGCCCATTTCGATTCATTCTGTTGGTTTTGACGTTTTGTTCCTGCGGTGTGCTGCTTGGTGTGCACATCTCGATGTCTGGCAGTGTGAAATCTCACGCGCTGTGCATCGTGTTGACGAGTATTTCCGACTACGTATCAAATGTGGGTTGTTGCCTGTGTGCAGCACTGATAGATCCAGGGTGCGGGCGAGTTAATCTATCCTGTTGCGGTCGGTTGGTCTAGCCGCTCCCCGCTGCTCGTGCGCCCACCATGCTCCATGCGTTCCACGTCAACCGGTGGTTGCGCAACGAGGTGTTCGGCATCACGGTAGTTGCCTGGCCCACCTGGACACGCATTACGCAAGCAGACGTGCGCGTGGTATTATGTCTTGTCGCCCCGCTCCGACGTGTGCTGCCTTGGGCCTGGACGCGCACTGGCTGCCAATTCGGTGGGGAGATACGGGCGCCGGAAGATGCGTCATCCTTGAACGCTAGCGCTGTGCAGTCATGCCGTACATGGTTGCTGGAGGCCAGGATCGGCCTGCACTCGCTCCGTGCGCCGCCCTGCTCGGTGCCAGTGCGTGCGCTTGGGCGTCCTATCCAAGCGTGGGGTGGGATGCGGGGCTGACGCGAGGGATGCGCTGTCCAGCCAGCGCGGGCTCATTGCTTCTGTTCCAGAGGGCAAGGAATTCAATGCGCTCTGGGTCGCTGCTCCTCTTTGTCCTATTTCGCTTGCGTGGATTTGTTTGGAACGCTTCGGACGGGTGTGATGTGTCTTCCCGGGGAAACCAGGAAGTCCTGGAATGGTGTCGTGAAACCATCGACGCCATTTCTCTCAAGTGTTTAAGGGGTGAAAGACATTCAATGTGAATTTTATGCTGAAGTGCAAGCCCACTATGAAGTTGAAGTGTTGGTATGATTCAGAACCTCCGCCGCCCGAAGGGCGACGTGCATGTGAGAAGGCCAAGCTCGTGTGTTTGCGGTGCATTATCCGTAAGGGCTTCGCCCCCTGCCGCCGGCCCCCTCTCTCGGAGAATGGGCCATGGAAGAGCTAAGTCATGAGGCCTTGGCGCTGTCGTGAAGCAGTATCGAAACTTCATGCGAAGCCGATTCGCAATCAGCAAAACCAACTGATCACAAGAGGGGTTACCACACCTGGCGATTGGTAAGACGTGTATGGTTTACGGGCTTGGTTACCACACCTTGCGATTAAAGGGCCGAGGGAGTTCTCGCAGTTTGGGTTACCACGCCTTGCGATGGATGTGCGTGAAGGGTGGCACCGAATTTCAGAAATGTGCCAAATCCCCTCTGTTTTTGGACCCTGACCCCGCGGATCTGCGTAGGGGGTGGCGCCGAATTTCAGAAATGTGGCAGCGCGGATCTGCGTGAGGGGTGGCACAGACTTTCAGAAATGTGGCAAATCCCATGTGTTTTTGGACCCTGACCCCGCGGATCTGCGTGAGGGGTGGCACCGAATTTCAGAAATGTGGCAAATCCCGTGTGTTTTTGGACCCTGACCCCGCGGATCTGCGTGAGGGGTGGCACCGAATTTCAGAAATGTGGCAAATTGTGTTTTTGGACCCTGACCCCGCGGATCTGCGTGAGGGGTGGCACCGAATTTCAGAAATGTGGCAAATCCCCTGTGTTTTTGGACCCTGACCCCGCGGATCTGCGTGAGGGGTGTCGATTTCGAGCCCCCCCAGCAATTCAGACAACGCGCCCAGGAGGTGCTAAATATCTGGTTTGGGCCTCCCCCCCCCTCGCGCGGTCAATCAACTAGTTACAGTACCCAGCAAGAAGCAGAACTGTAACACTGGAAACTACAAGCTACAACTGACACAGGAAACTGCGAACCCGCGCCTACAGCCTGGTGGCCCCACAAGGGGGCCGGCGGATTTTCTTCTGCCTGTTTCCCTTCCGTCGTCTTCTATGCTGGGGGCATCATTTTTTTGGTGAAGAGGTTTACGCTTGGGTGGAATGTCCAGTCTCTCAACGCCGCTGTCTCCGATTTGTGCAGACGCGTGGGGCGCCAGCCTACTTGACCGATGTGTTCTTGTCATGCTTGCGTTCTGCGTGGAGCTGCACTGCCTCGCCCCGCGACGCTTGTGCGCGATGCGGCGCAGGCGTGCGAGACGCTGGACGTCCCAGCGATATATCCTTCCAGCGTCCTCCACTTGTTCAGCAGAGCGGCGAAGGGCGCTCATCGCCGGACCGTCGCCGTCGGACGTGGGAGGCGCCTCGCGGTGTCGCCATGGGGGTGACGTGCAGAGCCCTCGCCACGGCAGACTTGTCCTGACGCTAGAGACTGTCGCGCAGATTGTCTGGGGCTGTCTGGGGTTTCGCGTCTTCGTTTTCGTCGACGCCTCCGTTTGCCAGAACCGTGGTATGCCGAGTGGGGGGCCTCTATATCGGGGTAGATTCTCAAGGTTGTTTGAAGCCGCTTGGGGCATGCAGCGGGGGAGATGCGGCCGTTGCTCCCGCGGCAGATCGTCGTCGGGAGGTTCGTGGGCGACCTGTGTGCCTTGTCATGCATGCAGTATGAGAAGGTCGTCAAAGGTTTCGTTGAGGAAATCCTTGAGGGCGTCGTCCAATTCGACGAGGATATCAATTTTGAGGTCATCGGGGGTTTGATTGCGCAGGAGGTTCTAGGTGTTTGTCTCCAAGTCTCGTCGAGTGGCTCTGGGTCGAGTACGTCCACAAAAATGAAGAATTTGTTCTAAGGGGTGATCTCAAGAAAAGCTCAGCAAAACAAATTGGAGCCGTTTTTGGGGCAGTTAGGG